TTTGATTAAAAACAGAGTTGGAGCAAATTCACTATGAATTGTTTGAATGATGTAATGAAAAACTTATTTATTTTTAACAATGTTGTTTACTCATGTTGACCAAATACATTATAGTGGCTTTGAAGGCACCACAACATATTTTCATTAGAATCTATTAAATTACCTTATATGGAAAAGTACAACAGTAAAATTTAGCACAGAACAGGAATTATGAGAACGCACACACACAGATGTACACTAACAAAGCTAATACTTTGCTAAATTAAAGATGACATATTTAGCTTGAGCCTGCTATATAGCTATAATCTGAGACACATGTGGATCATTTTACATTTAAAATCATAATATTCACCTAAAACACTGTCATAAAAGAAACAAGACCACATTACAAAACTGCGGTGTTCAACAGGAGCTGATGTCGGCGTAAACGTCACCAAAACAAAGAGCTGTGTAGCTGTTGGCCCCTCCTATAAAAGCTGCAGCTCACGCTAGCAAGAAGCTGATTTTTTTTTTTTTTCACTGGTATCAAAATACAAGTAGAGAGCAGTAGCTGCATACCGGTGTTGCTGAAAACAGGGATTGATCAGAAATATTTGTGTCTTGAAAATAAGCCATTAAAGATTACTCAAACATGCACTAATCACTCCAAAAACAACTTCGACAGGGTAAATGAGAAGGGGAAACAACTATAAAAGCTCTGAAAAGTCAATGTTGAATAATAGACTCGCTTTAACGTTAAACTGGGAAAAATAAATAAATAAACAAATAAACACATTGAAAGGCTGACCCAGGACTAGTCGGTGTTAAAAGGGGTTAAAGGGGAAGTCCTCCTCAAAGACGCCTCAGCTTCAGTTACATAATTGATTATCAGACTAAAGCCTAAATCTCTAAGAACCACTGGAGTGTGTGATCACATGTGCTCGGTTCAATAGTGATTTATTTTATTGGTGATTCACGCGTCGCTGACAGATGACCTCACATTTTCTGCCATCCTCTCTCTATATTTCCTTATTCCTCCATTTCTTCTGTTATCGGGGCCTTATCACTGCAGCCGCTATTGCAAACCTGACGGCCCAAATTGGATTGACTTTTAATTAGGTGCACTCCCAGGGTAAAACGACTTTAATTGGCTGTATTATCTGTGTGGTTGCGTTAGGTGGAGGGGAGGAGAGAAAGAAGGCCCCACTGCAGCGTTTGAACAAAAACCAAAGGCCTCAATGTAGCTGCAATAATCTTATCTTGCTCCAACAGGACGCTGCAGCATTATCATTGAAATGAGAGGGAACCTATCACGCACTCTACATCGATGTTCAGACGGTAATGCATCAAGATTAAATACAACCTGGAAATCTATAGGGAGAGGGCAAATAGTGTTTCTGTTGCATTCATAAAAACACACACACACATACACACACATTTTACAAAATCGGCAGTGTTAAAAATTTGCACATGTCGCGATCACAATGACAAATGAATGAAAATTTAAAAAATAAAATAAAAAATGGCAAGTGTTTAAAAATGAACTGATAATTCTAATCATATAAAAGCTACATTTTAGTTTTGTTATAATCATTAGAGTAAAAATAATTAAAATGCACACAACATACTATGCATCTTTGTAGTAAATTCGCCGAGGTCCAGTGGCCTGTGTACAGTGCACAGAGTGGAGTCATGCCATAATGGTTCCTGCTATTAACAGCCTTTTAATGCACCCTGCTTGACTGCTCCTTTGTGTTCAGTAGTAATAGCTATTAGAGGGAATATAACACCCATTAATAGTGGAACAAAGAGCAAAATCATTTCATTACAGCCGTCTGCAGCTCTACGATGGGGAGGTTTTACATTACAGCAATTTGTCCCTTTCCGAGTTTTGAGATATTGACAGTAACCTAAAATTCTCCAGCTACTACAATGAACACTAGAAAAATATAGCTTATGTTTTAATAATCATTTTAAATTAATTGTCCATAATAATAATAATAACAATGCATTAGACTTTTATAGTACTTTTCCAGACGCTTTACAATTTTGTGCCTTATTTATTCATTTACTCGATGGCGGTATTGTAACCACAGCTGCTCTGGGGTAGACTGACATCAAGGCTGCCAATCTGCACTACAAAACACACACTCACACACCACATTAACTCTAATTATCTTTAAATTTAATGTAAAAAAAAAAAAAAAAGGCATAATTCTATAAAAAATGGTACAAAAGGGTGTTTGTTTTTGTAGTAACCTCCAACAGACAGAGGCCCAGACTCGTGATGTGGGCGTATACACTCGCTCTGACACTACCTGCAGTCTGCTCACAGCAAATGCAGAGGTAATGGACCATGCAAAGATTCAGCTCCCACAATGCACCTGGGGCTGTGTGTCCATCCCTCAGTTTTTATGACAGGGACCTAAAGAGCAACATAAATCACTGATGAGCTGTGTAACAAACTATAGACTTACCTCCAGTACAAACAAAACAAACAGAAACTACTATATTGCTTGATTGAGATGGGGGATATTAATATTGTTAATTTGTAGATATTTTAGTGAAAAAAATTAAAAGTGGAATAATTAACCTTGTCACTATTATCACTAGCATTAAACACAAGGTTTAATATTGGTGTGTGACTTCATCCATTTTAAAATCTGAAAACAGTACATTAGATTTCCTCCTTACCATGAGTGTGTTCAGACTATTTCAGTGTAAAAAAAAACCTCCTCTAATGTTAATTCCCAACAGTCTAAGGATGCTCCAACCTCAGGCGAGATGATTCATCGTCAATACTCACTATATAAGCCATGAAAAACACTTAAGTGGAATAACAGACCATTTGCAGAGCCACTATGACTATGCTATATAGACTTCTTTGGATATATTTAGACATTCTGGTGAAGCATAGGGGGTTGTTTCTTTTTTGTGGGGGCCTGTCTTCTAAATGTGCTTCTAAACATTTGAATAAAGATGGTTGTTATCAGTGCAGAGGCAGGACTGAGCGGGTGCTGTGTGAAGGAGCATGTCTCCTGACTTGTAATGACACAGCCCGAGAGCCATTACGTCTTTGATGGCAGGCTTAAGCAGAAATCCATTTTAGTGTGTCTCACTGTTGACAATCTCTTAATATGAGGTGCACCCTTCGTCGAACTCTCTGCTCACTGACGTTTATCATTACACTGCAGCCCGTAATTAACTCAAAAAAAAAAAAAAAAAAAAAACTAAAGAAAAAAAGAAAAGTACATTTCTTGCATCATCGAAGACGCAAATGTCCCGTGTAGTAAAACCTTTGTTGTCCTAATTGTCGTGTCAATTTGTCGCACTATCGGACATCAGCTCTGTGTGCTGACAACATGGGCACCGCTGCATGAAAAGGCAAAAAGAAAATGGCTGCTCTCCGGCACAAAAAATCGACACGATGTGCTTGGCTCTGAGTCGATCCACATATCTTTACTTCTTCCCCCACGCCGAAGCTTTACGATAGGGTAACATTAAGTCTAATTCACCAAGACGCTGGAAGACTGTGATAAGGTCTAAAAGCCTGAGAGCGTAGTCGAGAATGCGGCGGTTTGCCACACCCAACGGCAATGCTAAAATGGCAGCCACAACAGAAGATCCAGAAAAAACGCTAGTCCAGATAATTATAAGTCATGATGATATAATGAATGATTTCGACAGTATCTCAGGTAGGGATAACAAAAAGCAATATTTCTTCTTTTTCAAAAAAAAAAAAGTCCCGTGTGCGATTGTTCAAACCTAGGTGGAGTTTATCAGCAGGAGTCCATTGACAGTGAAGGGGCTGGGGCTCAAGCTGCTCCCATCCCAATCTCGTTCCACATGATTATTCTCAATTTCACACTTGATGGTTTTTACTGGAGCAGACGGCGACGGCCAAATGCCAAAAGGTAAAGAAGAAGGGCTCCGAGGTGACGAGAAAGTTCAAAACAACAAGGACACAAAGATATACAGTAGAATGGTCACTATAGACTTCAGCAGTAATCTGATGTATTGACAGACCGTGGGATTAACAAGAGACTTAATCTGCGAGACTACTACAGACACAACAGCGTGTCTGTTTCCTGCCTATTGGCCAGATTTTGTTACAAATGTGTATTCTTGCGTCTCAATTTATGCTGCACCTTTGATGACACATGTGAGGTCTTTGTTGTTAAAACCTGCATTTATTTTGCAGGGTCATTTTTCTGAAGTGTGATTATTGTAATGACAACTGTGTTATTCTAATTAATTAATCTCAGAAATTTCAATTCAGAATTCTAATTTCCGAATCTAAATTTCAATTTTTTATTTTTTTTTCAGTCAATTACAGTATGATTTTTTTCAGTTAAAATAAAATAGTTTTCATTGTGTGTGTTATGATATAAATGAATGTTAATACTGAATGTAATCATAACTTAAGCAGCCATTTTGTATAGTATGTGTCCAGGTATGTCACAGTCATAATGTATTTTATTTATATGTGAGCATAAATTTTCCTTTTCCTTCCTGTTTTAATTTTTTGGTTAAAAAACCATAAGGCCAAATTCAATCGAAAATCCCCATTGCATTTATACTACAGAGAACTGCATTGCTGGAGGTCATTTAACACTAGCCTCTTACACCTGCTTTAACCTTGTATGGTACCAGTGTCACTAAATAACCTATAACCTGAACATGAATTCTCTATGTAACATCCTGCTTCAATAAATTCCTGATTTGACAAAATGTGACTTAAATATGTACAATTATGCCAATTATTTTGTTACTTTGTGTTCCTTTTCTATCACTCCAAGCTGTGTACACATTAGAATTGCATAGTTTGTCGCAAAATGTTAAAAATGCATTAAAACTACTAAACATGTACATTATTTGCTCAAAAACCCACAAGAGACGTTGGTGAAAATGACTACACGGCTCTGGGGAGTGGGTAGTGGGAGGCGAGGGACTTGACGAATCGGGGACCTATTGTTCACACCCGAAATGACTGTGCGTATACAGTATGCAGTGGTTGGTACCTCTTTTTGGTGGTGGTGGCTTCGTTTGGTGGGATGCAGATGAGGAGGTGCAGGATGGCGAGGTCGTGGCAGGGTGCACAATATGAAGATGATGAGGATGATGATGGTGGTGATGATGAGGTTTAAGTGGTGCGGGCCTCTACTCGGCTTGATTTGAGCTGCAGCTGAGTACGCCATGGCAACACTTGCGGTAATGACAGTGTGAGGTGAACTGCAACACGCATTATATAGACATTTTAGGAATTTCACACAATGGAACAAAATTACAAATAATGTGTGTATTTGATGTGTTTCTAAAAAAATAAATCATGTTTGTTTTTTCATATTTTTCTAGTTCACACAATGATTGAAAGACTATTGATGGCCTACTACTGCAGCCATATATGTTATTACAATATAAAAAAATTTTAATCAGAGAGCTACTTATTCTGAAAAGGTAGTAAAATAAAATAAAATAAAAATCAGTCTTTTTAGTCCAGTCATTCCCTGAGCCACCTTGACATCTTCACACAACCTTGAGATCAGAAAGAGCTTTAAGAACAATCTCACGATATAACGTGCTATTTGTTAAGCTCTTAAGACCAAATTTAGGCCACATAATCTCTTTCTACAAATAAACTAGCCCATAGACACAAGAGCTTGAACCACCACTGACCTGACGCCAAGACTGTTAGCGATAGTGGCCCTACAGACGTGAAAAGCAAAGGAATTAGCATCCTAGCATTAGTACAAAAAAGTTGTGTCACAAATCACTGAATCTCACTCTGTAAAAGTTACATAAGTGTGAAGTAAAATGTATGTTTGATATTTAAAAGTCGGTAAATCTATGGGAAAGGTCTGCTTTTTCAGTCCAAACATTTTCCAAACACTGTATGCAAAATAATTCAGGAGGCACCTCCTCAAGTTTACAACAAAAACTATTTCAAAAAGAGACTAAAGTGTGACGATAGCGTCGATTTAAAAGCTTAAAGACACTTTTCTTACCTGACTGAGGCGCCTGTACGTCGCTGTCCATCTTCGCCTGTCACTGAGGACCACGAGCTCAGCTGCAGTCAGTGCCGCGTGCGACTCCGAGTGAGCGCGAGACAACCGCGCTGCTGAGGTGCGCGCGCCGCCTGCGCACCACAGACACGCGACCCACCAGCGGAGGGAAGGGGAGGAGGGGGCTGGTGAGGAGGAGAGGAAAGCTTATGTTAAAGAGCTGTTAAAACACACATAGAAATAAACGGACTGAAACATTAACGTTTTGTCAAATATGTGATGGGGCAAAGCTTTTAGGGAATTGGGGACACTTTCATCTGTCAAAGGCTCAAAGGCTCCGGGGTTCAAGGCCTGCAGCTAAATTCACTCCCACGTTTTAATTAGCCCAAACTGTCCCCATGACTATGGTTTAACAGAGCCACTTCCAAGTCATTTGTCTCCAAAAATATTTAATCAAGCATACAGAACATTGTTGTTATCATAATAATTCTACAAAACAATAACGACTAAATGTGTAATATTGTTATAACACTGATTTTTTTTTAAAAATATATATATTCTGCTTTTTTAAAATTCAAGTCACAGAAAAGAGCACACAGGGGAAAATAATAAAAATAAATATGTCTGTAAAAGTTGTAAGAGTCATTAGGAGAGTGGGACGTCTGTTCTGCTCAGATACACAGATATATTTAACCAGTAGCACTACATTGACTGACATCAGTGACATTGGTCAAACATGGTGAAAAATGCTGTGACGAAAAAGATCTGTCAGAGTGTGAATATGTTGTGAATACTCAGCTAATGGTTCCTGGGTCCCTCTGGAGCGTGGTCAGTCCAGGACACTCAGGCCACGCCCCTTTCAAAGTCATTTAGTCATATAGTGTCTATAAAACTGCTGAGTGGGACAGTGGTGGTTGCCATGTTGTGTGTGTTTTCAGCCTGTTGTTATTTTGCTCAATGAAAGACCTCTACTGAATGACCTCAGCAGCTGCTTATGGTCCTGCCTCTAACTATGCTATGTTAATGAATAAATACAACTAATACACCTAATGCCATGGCTACTTGGAGAAGATAAATGTGTTTGGGGTCAGGGGAAAATGTTGTACAACCCTGACAGGTTAAATCCAGTCCACCTTTAGGCTGTAGCTGTAAGTCATAGGCCATCATTCTGCAGTCCCAGCCCGCTTTAGAAGCCCTCATTAACATTGTTGGTCGATGTTCAAAAGCGGATGCCTGTAGTTGAATTTAGGGGAGCAGTGACACACAGTTGCACAGCTCTGACCTGGCCTGTGCTGTGTGTGTGTCTGGGGTCAGCTGTCAGGCCCATGTTGATGGATGTGGGTTGGAAACATACTTGGAGTTTAAGTTATGTCCTTTGGCAACCTGCTTGACCCCAGCTGCCCTAAAAATAAAGGTGCACACAACAGACAATGGTGTAAGATATCACAGATCATCATTGAACTTCCCAGAGTAAACACGCATCAGGTATTATTTATTCCTTTGTTTTTTGTTTGTTTATACTGTTGAGTCTATGGCCATGGCATATCCTCTCCAGACCGAAGCTGTTTTCAGTCGATGGGCACTGATGGACGGTTTGGCACAGCACATTCAAAGTTTTCTTGGTTTGGACACCATTATTGGACGCAGAAGGGCTCACTGGAGGTGACTACATGTGGAATCGGCACTGGATGTTGGAAAGACTTGACAAGAGACTTACAACACAGTTTATTCTCACATGTGTGGTTTAGGCGTATGGTTGATCATGGTTGTACCTGTTTGGAGTTTTTTACCAGCAGGAGAAGAGGTGGAGTGATGGTGCTGTCGATGTATGTATTCGCTTCGCGGCAAATGTTGATTTGATCTGGAGTTGACACTAATTGATAGGATGTGCTCTGAATAGAGCCACTGCTCTTTCACATTGGTCAGTTAGGCCGAGGCTCATGCTGTCTGAGCTGCCATTCAGCGCTCCTCTGCATGCAAAAAGAGCACGATTCCTTTGGAGGAGCTGGAGAAAGTAACTGGGAGGATAAAAGTCTGCAGGAAGTTTGTGATGATGTAGATGCTGGACTTTGAATCTCTTCATCTATAGGGATGTAACAGAATGACTGAATTAATAAGCTCTTAAGTGTTGGAAAGGCTAGCACAAGAGCTTATAAACAACATTGTTTACAAATGGATTAGCCAACAATTGTGACCTTTCACTATAGACTTGGGCGGTTGCTCTATATTTCTAAGAGGCCAACCAGCATTTTCCCCATAATACTACTACTGGACTCCATAATTAAGTGAAGAGCTTCATTATAAGACATTTCATTCCTGTAGCAGTGGCAGAGTTATCAGGACCTCGCTGCCCCTTTCAACTGGCACTTAGTGCTTAACCTGGTCACTATGGAGACAGTTAAAATGGTTTGCCCCGGACTTCTTTGATCGAGAGAGCACTTGAAAGACAGTATTGGCTTATTTAAAAAGACAAAGCCAGAAGAGGAGGATCTGATACCCCATCATTTGTGTTTACTATTTTGTTTAACTGTTTTAGTGATAGGTTGGATAAGCCTTAAGACCATTTGCTATTCTAACAGCACTCTGTCCAATGTATAGCTCATACATTATAGTTGTGTTGACTGACTTAATCAAGTTTCAGAAATAACAATGTGGTATAGCTCAATAGAAATTATTACTGAATGCAATAGAGCTTGAGTCTGTCCTTACCACTTTCCCATATTATGCTAAATGTGCTCCTTTAACACAACCGCGAGTGATTTCACTATTCACAGGCAACAGCACATCCAGGGCCTGCTCTATGAGATGTGTAATTTTAGATAAGAGACAATTATTGTAGCACATCACACATATGATCACTATCTGCAGAAATCTCAATCTGTTCCAGTGAATGTGGGGCAGATATAGCGTCCCGGTGCCCTTGGTATTTAATGACATTTCTTTCTGTCTGTGGAGATAGAGGGAAAGCATCAGAGTCAGCACCAAGAAACATTTGGCCTATTACCAGCTATGGGTATGGCATGAGGCCTGCACTTGCAGAAAGAAGAAAGGTCTATCAATCCACTGTAATACACTATAAAATCATGATGAAAATAAATGTGCCAATGGGATACTAGTAAGTACTGACCACTTTTTACACCTCAACAACTTTAAACCAGTTAGGGTATATTAATAATATACCCTAACTCATATACCCTAATAATATTATTTTATTTATTGTTTTATTTATCCACTGTTTTTAGTGAGTGAACACATTTATCTATCAATAGCATGATATAGAATTGTATTGCAATCACCAAACATTACTATTTTTATGTTTTATTTTTCAAAATAGAGATCAAAAACACAACCTCGGTCTTGTAGGCAATGTAAATTTCACATGTGTTACAGTTCATCTTTCACCTCCCCAAAGATCCAGAGAGGCCACATATAAAATGCCTTTTAAACATCATGACTGACAGCTCTGCAAATGAGAAATCATTTACTGTGAACAGCTTGCTTTTGGCAGAGATGCTGCTGCTGCCTCAGAGGCGAATGTGGTCATGTGACTCCGAGCATGCATCATAGTGCTGGGTCAGTCAGCCAAAAAGACCAGCGCTTTCTGGGGAATATGCTCAATTATAAACAAGGCCAGGGTAAGAAGGATCTAACTTAGTATTATAATTCACTTAGAATGCAGAAACATTATAAAATACTTAGTTATAAAATATTTGTATGTTTGTATGTGATGTAATTTATAACATACAAATCATGTATATATAACCAATATTCACTTATTCTGAGCTAAACAATTCAAAACTAATTTAACCAATTAAAGAAGGACTTAAAAAGCTGTAGGCATCACTGAGATTATGTATTTACCCATTGGAATCAGTGGGAATTAGTGATAAAACACAGCCGCATTCCATTTGATATTAGGCATTTCAGTTTGATATTGTTCAAAACGTCTGCACATAATGTATGCAAGTGGTAAAGAAAATCACGATTTAAAATTTAAGGGAACTCTTTTTATATTGCACCATGTGGCCCACACTGACATGTACAACTGTCTATAGTGGATTTTGTGTCTCCAAATTTAGAACCATAAAATAATTCTAGACACAAACGTTAAAACTAAGGATGGGATTGTCGAGTGAGATGTCGCCACCTGGTGGTCACAAAAGCAGGCAATCTGTAATAAAAGATGCTATGCTACCAAATGCCAAAAACTAATAAATCATTCTTAATCCCTTGCAACATATTTATTATTTTCTGATTTACAAGTTATATTACATTTCTTTTACAAAAGGCTAACAACTGTCTGGTGTTACATTTCAATACAATGAATAAACACAGATGCATATGTAGTAATAAATCATTTTACTGTGCAAGGTCTAAAAGTTTATGATAAAACTTGGGTTATCTTGATTAATGCAATAAATTGGCAACAGAAATCTGCCATTGTTAGATATACTGTATGTATCATTATGTACATAAACACATTCAAGACAGACACACAAAAGGAGACAATTGATAAGCATCACCTCAGAAGTATTTTGAACCAGAGTCAATCAAGTTAGAAAAAGTAGAAGACAAACAGGGAGGTAGGTCAAGAGAAAGAAGGATGAATTCTGAGGGATTTTGGCCCTTCCCTCTAGCTTATGATTCCTAAAAAAGTTGCTTTAATCATACAAAGTCCAGATAATCCCATCTGTAATCTCATTTAAGGTGGAAAAGTGGCCTCAGCCCTCCCTGCCTCTCTGGGTTGTTCTGTTTAGGCCTTTAAAGTTCATTGTGCATTAGTTTCCTCCACCACAGCAGCTTCGACTCTGGGGGGGTTGCTGCTGGAGGTCCACCCCTGCCCTGGTTCTCCCTGCTTGCCCCGCTCCAGCCTGAGGGTCACTCTTGGGGAGCTTTTTCGCTGCAACAACAAACAAATACAGCATCATACAGCAACAATAATTTTCTAGATCAGTGGTGCCCAAACTTCAGGCCAAGACCCCCCTAAAAACATGCAAACAACTCAGGATACCCCAGGTTTAAAAAATATATTTTAAAGCGTTATTATGTAATTTGACCTAATTTCACTCACGCATTATAAAAAAATAAAAATACAATTTCAGTATTTTTTCATATCTCCCATAATCCCTCATCCTACATTAGTATTTATAAATTTTCATAATTGGAAAGTAATTTGTGGCCATATTACTCTAATTACAGGAATCTCTGCTATCATGTAAAATATAGACGTAACACTGAAGGTCCTTAAATGTTATCAAATCACTTCAGTCTGAAGTGTAAATGTCAAATGAGCTCATATTTCAAGTCACACACAACTGAAGTCAGTGTGTAATCTCAATTTGACAAGCTGTGCACACATACCAATAGCCATGAAGATTTCGTTAACATTCATGGCTGTTTTGGCTGAAGTTTCCATGAAGAGAAGGCGATTATCGTCTGCATATTCCTGTGCCTCCTGGGAATAAAACATATTTGAGTCAATGTCAAGAGAACAAATCAGGTAAGCATGTAATAGTAGTATTTAAACTTACTTGAGCCTCCACAGCTCTCTTGTTCACCATATCAGCCTTGTTCCCTGCCAGAGCAATCACTATGTTGGGACTGGCTTGTCTCTGCAACTCCATTACCCAGGTTTTTGCACGTGCAAAAGACTCCTATAATTAATTAAGCATTATATTATATATCAATAAACATATGTGCTTACTGGCTTTCCATTTCAGCATTTTTAGTTCAGCTTTATGTCAAACTGAGACTGGGCAGGTCAAACTTACAGCACTGGTTATGTCAAAGACCACAATGGCAGCCTGCGCTCCTCTGTAATACATGGGAGCGAGACTGTGGTAGCGCTCTTGGCCTGCTGTGTCCCAGATTTCAAACTTCACCGTAGTGTCATCCAAGCAGACAGTCTGTGTCAAGAACGCAGCTGAAATTCATTCAAGAAGTTAGTCAATACGGCATTAATTTTGACGGAGCCACCACACCTTTAATATGTCTTTAAACATAAATTTTATTAGGTCTGTATCACAATGCAGTTCTATTATTGAGGTTAAAGTGGTATAATTATTTAATTTTGCTGAATAAATGATTGTTTATATAATCATGGCCAGTTTAGCAGAAGGCCTGAAGACACCCCTGGAATAAGGAATCATTCATTTGATGTTGGGGAAATATTATGACTTTACCTCCAATTGTTGCTTCCTGGTATTCATGAAACTGCCCCTTGACAAAGCGCAGAACCAAGCTGGACTTTCCCACTGCAGACTCGCCCAGCAGCACCAGTTTGAACTGGCAGATTTTGTTGGGTGCTCCACTGTTGGGCCTGGTGTTGCCTCCTGGACGTGCAGCCATTGACAGAGACGGGGTGAGTTACTGACGGGCTGCGCAACGAGAGGACACGGAGAGGTCCACGGGGATCCAACAGGATAAACTGGGCTCTTATCCTTATTCTCTGTTATAACATGTCATACAAGTGTTATAAACATTTATGCTTATATTAGTTTGACCATCATACATTTACAACCAAAGTTATCCTAAAGGTAAACAAGCCGAGACAGTAAAGTAATTTGAACATTGATTAAAGAGCTAAATAGCGTTAGTCATGAACATGTAATGCTAATCTCGCACTATACGAACACTTTTGTCGGTTTTCAAATTACAGGAAATGTTGCCAATGTCCCAAACAAGAAAAAACAAAACCTTCAAAAACAACTAAGCTAACTTTTGTTTGTATCACGTCGAGTTCAGGGTTAACAATGTTAAGGACAGCCGATAAAAGAAAACACACAGACATAATGCAATGTGATCCTTACCGACAAGGCAGATAATATGTACTCCACCCACTCAATTGTATAGAACAGTATAATTATTATTTTTTTTAAACAGCTTTCTTCTTTCCACAAAAACAACACAGCTTCCGCCCTGTGTAACCAAATACTTCCTGGATTCCACTGTCACGTGATACATTCTTTGAACCAATGAAATCTTCTTCATGACTTTTATTCTATTATTCACTATATTATATTATAACTAAGTTGCAAGCATACATACATACATACATACATACATACATACATACATAAATATATATTTTTTTGTAGTTTTGACAGTGCAGTTTTGCACATGATCTTGAGGTTTCATCTGTGGCATAAATCCGTCAATCCGGCAGCATAGAGCAGGGTAAATTCCTGGTTTGTTAAGTAGGCCTACTACTTAGCACTGGAATGCAGACATGTACAGTAGTCCTAGTCTTCGGAGGAGATAGGACCACAAGAATTAGAATAAAAAGCTACTTGAATATACCTTTTGAAGAACACGAAAACATGTAGTTGTATTTTTACGAGTAAATGCGGCAAAAAAAAGTACTTACTTTTGAGTAGACCTTGTGAGGCTACTTTGTAGATTATTGTATCCAGACCAGAACAGGTCTGTTGGTTCTGATTTTTTTTTTCTTTTTCCACAGTAGCATCTCAAAGCCTCACCTAACATACTGTTCATATTTGTTTGTAAAGTTTACTCCAGAAATAATGCATTCAGAACAAATATGTATTTCCAAGACTCTCCCTATGTAAATGTGGAGTTTTATCTGATCTGGCAAAGATTTGGCTATTCCAACACACAGAAACTGGTGAGAATGGACCACGTGTGAAATAACAGGGACTGGAGGCAAGACTAAGGAAAGAGTCTGGATATTGTTGATCAAAAAAACTGTGAAAAAATAAATTCAAATAAATTGCTAACAGAAACTGAGGAGTGTGAACACAATATTTACACGTCATCTGGGCTCTTCTATTATTTCTGTAATTTAGTCATCTACATTTATTTTTCTCCATGTTACACATTTCCCCCCTCACTTGGTGAATTTTCAGGGCCTCAGTTAACAAAATATCTGTACTAACATCAGTCTATTAATAATACCAGAATGTATTTTTTAAATAAAGACAGTGAACTGATGGTTTCAGGAGAACCATTATAAATACGAAGAGTACAAAAACAGGGAGCTGATGGTGTCCATGTAACTAAGGATGCTCATGAAAAAGGGTACTCTGTTAGAAAATATTTAAAAGCCTTTTGACAGGGCAAGTTTGGTCATCCTCCTCTTCATCAATGCTTGGTAGGTTGAAGGAAACAGTGTGTCTCCTGTTGTATTTCTTGCATCAAGCGTATACACAAGAGGATTTGAATGTTCGTTGTGTGTTTATTTGTCACACATTTGTAGACTTTTTTGTGGGCTGGAACCAAGTGCACTTTGAGAGCGTATCCAGCAGAGGGTGCACTGGTCTGTCTCGCTGCTTCCACGTTGCTCTGGAGGCATCTGCAGCGTTAGAAACAAACATGAGCTACATATAGAATATATCTCCAGCACATGAACAACTAACTGAGACAACCTATTGCAACCTTCTACAGTTTATCTGTTTTCTTCTCAAGTCCTTCAGTCATCTGTGTGTACTCTGTGTTGGAATATAGCCTGTTTTTTGTCCTATAACTTTCAATTCTTCCTGGCAGACCCCTGTTCAGTGTCCAGCAGTGGGTGGACATTGGCCTCCTTCACTGTGAAGAAAGACTTTAGATCTGATTTACAGTCACATTTACATTGACATAATATACATTTTCTGCAAAATGCTACAGTTCACACACACCTTTAATGCAGCACCTCCAGGGTTCACATGGGCTATGTCATATCTGTTCCAAAGACAAGACAGTATCTAAAACACACACCTATATTAGAGAAAAGGCAGATATACTCTGCTAAACATAAACATGACAACATCATATTTCCCACTGTCATATTGTAGTATGGCTGCAATTTTTTTTTTCACATGTCAACTGCTGAGATGATAAGAGCCACAGTGTCAGAGTATCGTGGACATCTCCATCAGCAGTGGGCAGCGTCAGTCATGGCCTTGTGCTGTGCTTCTGAGGAAAAGGACTGACTCCTCTCTCTCTCGGCTCTCCTGGAAACAGGTTGAATCTGCAATGGACCTGAGCGACTAACGTTGATGATTGACTACCTGTTATGACCAGCTCTGGCATAGTCCCAGGCCATGCTGTTGTGATGGCTGCTGGCACATGATGGCCACTGGCACACTCTTGGCACATCTGGGGCAGGACGCTGTGACATAGAAGTCTGTCATTCAGAAATGAGTGTTGTGAATACTGTAATACCTGCAACCGGGCTTCATGCCTTTACACAGCATATTTCAGTGTACCTAATTGCATTGTATACCTAGTGATCATCAAGTCTCACCATGAGTCCTCTGGTCACAGGACAATCTGTTTGCATCCCAAAGATTCACCAACAACCACAAACCCTGAAACACAGAATGTGAAATGTGGACAGAACCAGCTGCACAGACAACAGTTCAGTCAAACTTTGAAAACAACCACTAAGTGATCAGAGTGCTTAACAAGTCACAGTGAATTTATTCTGATCTCTAATACAGTGAGTCAGATGCCAACCTGTAGGCTGATCGAAAAACACATGTTATTCTACATATACAAACAAATCAATGAGAACACTCACCACAAGAGGGTGGTCTTCATGGGCCCAAAACTCCACAGAGGTCTCCTGTGGGGCAGAGCTAAGGGGCTGTGGAGGGCTACCGCACATACGCTGATCAGCAAGGGGCAAATGTGTTTGTTTTTCATACAGAAAAAAACATTTAAATGTTCCATTCAATGGACATAGTGTCTTTTGTGAAGGGCTTACATGGTGAGCACCACCACGCTGCTCCTGATCCACAGGGGGTGCCAGAGAGTCAGCAGAAGGGGGTCGAGGGCTCCTTGGTGGCTGATGGACATACAGAAAGAATCATTTATGTAGACTAAATTCAAGTATGTAATCTTAGATTTGAATAAACCATGCAAAAGACAAAGAAAAGACTGACCTGAAAGCCAGGGCTCTGCACAGGTGAGGCAGAGGAGGAGGAACTAGGGCTGCGGCTCTCAGCAGGCTGACAGAACAACATCACAGCATTAATGAGTTACAATCCTTTGCCTTTTCACACAGAGCTGCAGCTAAAACAGTGAAACTATATATATATTATATGTATGTACTGTTACTCTTTTGTACAATTTGTGGCTACTTTATCCAATTTTCATGGACATCCAGCAACATTGACAGTCACAGTTAAAGTTAGTTAGCTTACTGCTACTCATTACTACTACTAGCATTAGACCAAATATATTTAGTTGTTTGTTTTTTTAAATAAATGAAATAGACCCTAAAATAGGCCATAGACCCTAAAAAAATAAAATAAAAAAGAAACAGAGCCTGTGTCAAGTGAGCATGACAACACATGACAACAATGAAATATATGTAGGAGACATTACACCAACATTTTTGTTTTTGTCAGTTGAAGTAGCTCATAAATAGCTCATAACTGTCCTAAATCATCGTGTTACATACACTGAGTCCAGGGCAAGCCTGTCAGAAGGATTACAATATGGCCCAATACATTTATTTGAGTAACTATTTAAAAATATTGTACTTTCTTCCCATTGTGAGTAACTACAAGTGACAAAAGCTTTATGTTGACAATATTAAATGATTTGAATATTTATGTTTTCGTGCAGCACTCCTTCAGATATGGTTTGTTTCATTTTGGTGTCTATCCTTTGAAAATACCAGATCTTTATGTTACTCTTACTTGAGTAGTAGTTTTCTGAAATACTTTTTACTCTGGAGTAACTTATTGGACTACTATTTTGTACTTTTGCTACTATAGTAACCTGTGCTTGTTCAGTAAATGTAAGCTTTTTCTTTGCACTTATTACTTATTTCTGGAGTAAAATAACATTTGTACTGAGTAGTACTAGAGGATCAATCTATCATGGCTGTGGTTACATGCATTTTTAAAATCTGATTGAATTTTGGAATTATAAAATTATTTAAATGACATATAAAAATCCAACTCAAGTCATTTCTTTCTGATCTCTCTGAATACTCAATCAGGTTTTGCCCTCTTGAATTGATTTTGAAAATATGTTGTGGCTTGGTGCCCACTGAAAAGAAATCCCAATCTTCAAACTAGGCCACAGCACAACAAAAATCTTTTATTTTTCTCAGACTTTTATTACTGCTGGTAATGTCTATTGCTGTTTAATTGATTATTTTTTTCTGTTGAACAAAATTCTGCACAAATCTTTATCAAAATCACTAGAGACCTCAAAATATGTGCAAAATACTTTTACTTTTTACTCTTTAAGTATATTTTGGCCCTTATGTAAAAACAGGTACTTTAATACTTTAACTTTGGTAATTATATTTTTACTTGAGTATTTTTTTGCTCCAGTATCTGTAGTTTTACTCAAATAACAAAATGTTGTACTTTTTCCACCACTGGCTATCTTTGATTGCTAAAGAGCTACACAAGTAAACTTGAAATAAATACTAATACTTTTTTTTTATTTTTATTTTTTTTTAACTAAAGTACATGGGGTTTTAATGACAATGTCTGATCAGCTTTTGTGCATTTTAGTACAAACAAGATTAACTTACATCTTTGTCTCAACTATGTTTGGGTTTCAGCCCCATTAATTTTGTATTATTAATATAGTTTACAAGACTGTACTTTGACTAAGCACCACCAGCAGAATCATCTTAATTTTGTCTAGAATAGGATAATATTACAAGGCAACAGAAATTGCATATGGGATTTTTACTGATAATTTCTTCACATATAAATCACACAAAGTAATACATAATCAGATCCACAGATGTCAGTTGCAAAAGTCAGTGGAGCAGCAAGTTGTGATTATCGGTGCTTGAACCATCCTACTGCACTCACTGTCAGTCATGCAGCCTTTAATGTAATCTGAAAATTGTAAAATAAAAAAAATAAAAATTCTAAATCCACAAACATTCTTTGGCATGATTGTAAAAGTTACTTACACTGTCGCGACACCAGGCTTACTTTAGTGCCACATTTCGTTTCAGGTCCAGAACAAGTTTCCCAAGCACAGGTTTTCCTCCCTCCACAGTTGCATCTCAAAGCCTCAGCTGAAAATTGAGTTTAGTTTCCTGTTTTCATTTAGTATTTGTTAATTTTATAAGACTTACTTTGAGTGAGCAGTACGACCACCAGCAGAACCACAATCGCCTTCATTTTCTCGACAAGGATAATATTACAGCTCCTGGATGTTGATGATTTTGTGTTTGTGCTTTGTGTCTGTTTAGTTCCCAGCTTTTATATAATTATCTTATTTCAGTCTGGAATCTACTAGATTACAAAAATATTGACAAACTGTACAAAAAAACACTTTTGTGCAATTGTAGGGCACAGTGCCTGTTAGTACAACTGCAGCCAACCATTACCTCCCAAAACATGATAAGAGCATAGTTTACAAATAACTGATATGTACCATTCAAGCATTAATTAAAAATTTACAGTCCATTAATTATCCTTTAAAATGACTGCCTTAAAGGACTCATAGTATGCTATTTTCTGATCCAAGTTATAATGTTGTTGTGTTTTGTTTTGTTCACATTTGTTTACAAATTCTGCATAATTAGGCTGAGTCCTTCTCTCAAACTGAAAACACTTTGTTCCACCTTGTGATGTCATGTGGTAATAAAGGAAGTGCTCCACTGTGTTTTTAAACTCCATACACCTTCACTGGGATCTTCTGAAATCTCTACTGAGCTAAACATAAAAGGAGCTGATAACTTAAAAATTACCACAAGATGACATCCCAAGGAGCATTTTGGAGATGAATACTTATAACAACTGTGAATGAAACAAAACACAACAAGCTCACAAGAGTCCATTTTGCATAATATAGAACTATAGAACCTTTAATGCATCAGTTCAGCACATCCTCAAATAGGCAGTACTTTGCTCAATTACATAACAACAGTCATGTTTGTATTCATGCACAATCTTTATTGACATTTGCTCCAATCACAAATTTACATTTATTCATGGGTGAGGTACAAAATTCTGGACCTTGAGAAAAATCATCTTGGTGGGCCTGTATTACATGTTCACTACTTCACTACATTTGTGAGCACGTATTTGTACTTTCTACTCCACTACATTTTTGAACAGGATAAAACAACACGTTCATAGTTTGAGCAAACCAAAATATACAAATAAAGACACCTATGAAAAACTACTGATTCAGTCGTTTCTGTTGAACAAAATTCTGCACCAATCTTTATGAAAACCACTACAGTTGAAGCTTTTATAAGACATTTTTCATATATTACAGTAAATTTTTCATGTGGTGCTTTTACTTTTACTTGAGTGTTTTACATTTCTATAACTTGGACTAAATATTAAATAAACTTTTTCTTTTATTTTACTAAATAAAGTATATGGGGTTCTAATGGAAATGTCTTGGCCTGATCAGTTTTTGCCTATTTTACTACAAATAAGATTAACTTACATCTTTGTCGCTGCTGTGATTGGTTTTCAGGCCCATTCATTCAAGACCATACTTTAATTAAGCACCAGCAGCAGAATCATCTGGATTTTCTTTAGAGTAGGATAATATTACAAGGCAACAGAAATGTGTATAGGATTTTTATTAATACTTTCTTCACATATAAATCACATAAAGTAATCCATAATCAGATCCACAGATGTTAGTTGCAAAGGTCAGAGCAACAGCAGGTTGTGACTCGATTGTTCATTGTGTCTACCTGCAGTCTGCACTGAGTGTCAGTCATACAGCCTTTAACATGTGCTGAAGCTGAAAAGGTTACCACAAGACAAATAAAAAAATAAAAATAAAAATCCACATACATGCATTGGCAGGATTGTAAAAGTTACGTACATCGTGGAAACACCAGGCGTACTTTAGTGCCACATTTCATTTCAGCTCCAGAACACGTTTCCCAAGCACAGGACTACTTCACTCCACATTTGCATTTCAAAATCTCACCTGAAAATTGAGTTTGTTTTCGATTGTTTTTATTAAGTATTAATTTTAAAGTTAATTAAACTTAATTTTAATGAGTCTTACTGTGACTGAGCAGCACGAGCACCAACAGAGCCACAATCACCTTAATTTTCTAAATGAATCGATATTACAGCTTCCAAAGTTTATTTAGGCTTTCATTATTAATTTGCTCTGGATTCTACTGGATTACACAATTATCAGCAAACAAAAAAAAAAAAAGTGCAATTGCATGGCATAGTGCCTGTAAGTAAACAATTGCAGCCAGCAGACCTGAATTTATAAATAAATGATATGCATCATTCAAGCATTATTTAAAAACTCACAGTTCTTTATTGATTACTTAAAACGGTTCTTTAAAGGACTGTTGTGTTTCTTAATCATAAACACACCTGGAGTTGTGTTTTGTTTCATGTTAAACATGTTTGTGGCCATACCAGTTTGTCAAAGCCTGATCCCGTCAGATTTCAGAAGCGAAACAAGGCTGGGTCGGGTTAGTACTTGGATGGGAGACCGCTAGGAAAATCAGGCGCCACAGGGGGGTGCCAGTCTCAAAACTATTGTTGTGTCCTTAGGCAAGGCACTTCACCCACACTGCCTAGTATGAAAGTGGTCTGTGTGTGTGATGCTGGTGGTTGGAGGGGCCAAGGCTGCAGATTGGCATCCTCGTTTCTGTCAGTCTGCCCCAGGGCAACTGTGGCTACAATAGTAGCTAACCACTACTGAGTGTGGAGGGAATGAATAATGCTGTAAAGCATCTTTGAGTGTTCAGAAAAGCTCCATATAAAACTGATGCATTATTATTCATTATTAACACACAAACCCTGTATATTTAGACTGAGTTCTTCTCTCAAACTGAAAAGACCCTGTTGCACTTTATGTCATGTAATAATAAAGAAACTGTGTTTTTAAACTCCATACACCTTCACTTGGATCTTCTGGAAATGCCTATCTCTACTGAATTAAAGATAAAAGGAGCTGGTAATTTGAAAACTACCACTTCATGACACCACAAGGTGGAACAGAGCATTTTGAACTTTGGAGATGATTACTTATAACATGTGTGAATGAATCAAAATACAACTCCAGGTATATTTTTGAGGAGCTAACAAGCATTATAACATGGCTTAAAGCTCACGAGAGTCCATTTTGCTTAATCCATCTAACAAATACATCCTCAAATTAGCAGTTTTGCCGAAGTACACAAAAACAAGAAAGCTGAAATTCATGCACAGTCTTTATTGACATTTGCTCCAATCACAAATTTACATTTACCCAGGAAGAGTGGTACATTCTGGGTACAAATCATGAGTACAAATCATCTTGGTGGGCAAGTATTACATCACTTCATAAAAACTGCATACAGTTTACAGATTTTGTAAAGGGCCCTGGATAAACAGTACCCTTTACCCCTCCAGTCTGAAACCTCTGCATTCATCTGTTGCACAGGTCTCTTCTGCAACAGAAAGCAGTGGATATACCAGGCTGATTGAGAGAGGTGCACTGGGACGCAGACATGCAGCCACTGAAGTAGTTAGGAACTGTGAAAAACAAGAGCAAAAGAGGATGTTAGAGATAAAAAGAGAGGTTCTGGTATATACTGTGTTATTGAACAAGTGTGGCGCCTCCTATTGGATGACTTGTGGGATTAACTTGTACTTGATATATAAAAGTTTGGGTACACAGCTCCATAACTAAATAGGCCTATATACTTACTTGCTCCAGCAGTTATAATGACACTACCACACACATCACTGAAGCTACGGCACGTTTCCACTCCACCACTGGGGCAACTCTTCAGTCCTCCACAGTTGCATTTCAAAGCATAGCCTTAAAAAAATCAGATTTTTAAAAACACAGGTAGGGTAATATGTGCGATTAAAAAAAATTCTTAATGACAAATAAAACTAACTTACTTTGACTGAGCACAACCACCACTATCAGCAAGATAACTGTTCTCTTCATTTTCTAGGTCTTTGCTCTTGAATTGTCGAATTCCTGATGCCTCAATATTCTGTTTTAGTTCCTGAGCTCATCTTTTATAGTTTGGTTGTTGTTGCAAACAGGAAAACACTCAGTTGCAACATTATTGAGAAACAGGCAAGAATAGGAACATAAGGTCTACAACTTTTGTGTGAGTCAAAAAATAAACCTACCTACTTGTATGTTATGTATCTGCATTTCAGCACCTCGCCTTGACAATTAAAACTTTAAACATGATCTTTATACAACAAAACACTCATTTGTTGCAGCACCAGCAGAGGCCCAATAGCTGTTTTTATTTTGAGTATTTAGCAGTTTCACAGCTCTCTGATATGAACATTTATCTGATGCTGTTGATAATGCAAGACATTAAATAGTTGTTGTAACCAGAAATACAAATACAAATTAAAAACAAAAACAATTGTAGTAGGTTATCTTTTGGTTGCTGAAGAGATTAAAGGGTGTACTATGTAGCTTTTCTGATGAGGAGTCCATCACCTTCTTATCTCTGGATCTATGGAGATCTCTATGGTGATGTTATTTCATTGACAGACATACTTTGACCTGACAGCATCAAAGTCTGTTGTAGAATAAGTTATTACAGCTTGTCTAAATGGCTTATTTCCCAAAATCTATGTGACATCCCATGTTTTATTTATCTGGAAAGCACTGGATTACACATTTATGAACATATGTACTTTGTACCACTCTCATAGGCATGAAACCCTTAACTAAACATCAGTACAGCAACAACTTTTCCGTGGCCTATTGGACAAAAAATGAGCACATGTTACAAAAACCTGAAAAAGGCTGGCTCCTGTTGTGCTGTTGTGTTGTTATTATCCCATATATGTTGGTTTTTGTCCACCCTATGAAACTAACCAATGTAAACAATGTAAAAATTGGTATTATATTACTATGTCTGCCCACCCAAATGCTACAGGCTAGATTCAGGCCTGATCTTTCATGTTTAAGCTCTCATATATTTTTTTTTACTCAGGCAAGCTTTTTCATGTGATATTTGTAGAATACAGTGGTCATTTTATGACAATAATTTCAATCAACAGTATATGGAGGTATAAAAGTATGTCATAGTATACCTTTCATTGTGTTAAAAGAGTTATTTGTTAAATATTTGTTACAGGTCAGATTACCAGGTCAAACTACCAGTGCTGTACTTAAATAAATAGATATAACACATGAGTCATGACTACAAAATGTCCCCAAATAATGTGAATTTAAGCATTTGGATAGGATTAAATTATTGGACAGAAAAGTCAGATGGATCAACCAAAAGTGTGCACCAAAACATTTAGATAGTTATTTAGTGGCGTTAATGACAGCTGCCTTGGCCCCATCTGCCCCTTTGTCGAAACTACCGGATTTACACAAGAGCTGTTTATGAAAGGACCACAACATTTCTACAAAACATGCACTTTTTAAAATTAAAGGTGTGTTAATTTTGATGTGCATCCAGGTGATACTGTGGCAAGATACTGAATAGTAAAAAAAAATGTATTGGAATTTCTATAGCTGCTTCTGATATTATTTTTCTAACTATGCTTACTACATCTAAATACTTCTATGCTTATTGCAAATCTTTTCTTCTGTGATAACTGTATCTGTATTGAAAGGAGATTTCAAAGTAGAGTAAAAAACACAATAAAAAATTTTGCATCCTGTTTTATTTAGTCATCCAAGAGAAATATTTCAAAAATAACATTTGAATACTCTCAGTATTTTATGATTATCATTAAGATAAAGTGACAGCTTAACCAGAAGTAATAAATGTGAATAAATAATGTCAAAAGTTGAGACATTTGTGTTGGCTTGGATAAGTAATTTTGATTTAAAATGTGGAGTGTAGAAATACTGCATTCAAGTGAGAGCATAAAGGAAAATTATTTGTAATCCCCTGAAAAGTACAGTATATCAAATTACTGTACATTGTCTTCAATGGAGGTTTGATAATGAATATGACAATTTCCTGGATATTTTGTCTGTAATTTAAATATCTCATAACGCATAATAAGTTGCTCCTAAAGACACATTCAAACTGTCTATGCGGTGTGTGACTTCCTGTTTCAGATCCAGAGAATGAAATCATGCAATCACTGTGGCCTAAGACCAACAGATTGTCAAGTAAAATTCTTCCACACTGATTATAAAACCTGGTCCGTAGTAAAAAATATCAAACAACTTTAACATGCAAGGAGGTAACAGGTGTAACCATGTGTAGTTAAAGAGAGTAATACAATATATGAAACCCAAAGCAGACACACTTCTGTAAAGCCATGACATGCGTTTGCATAGAAATGGATGAGGTCACACAAAGATGGACAATGATATAGCCCCGGTCTTTAAAAAGGAAATTTTGCACATACATGATCAGATATAACATTATTATAACCATGACACGCTAAATGCAACAAAACTAACTTCTTCAGTTAAGTTGAGCAGGTGTAGTTTGTCTTTTTGACCACATGAGGGCACTGTCTACTATCCACTTCACAGCTGCTACGTCTCGTTTCAAACTTTATCTCTCTGTGCTCACAAAATTATACCTGATCAGTGTATGTCTAATAGAGTCTCTGAACACTGTAGCATATGAATGGTCCCTTTATGAAAGTCTTGTGCTTTACTCTGTTAGGTCTAGACACCAGGACTGCTCTGTGCTTTGTGTCTGGACTCCACTGTCCCGTCTCTCCTGTGACCCTTCATTACCCAGAAGAGACTCCAAACTCTCGTGTTCAGCTAGGGGGCGCTCCTGAGCCTCACCACGTAGCCTTCCTAAATCCAAAGAGGAGCGTGGAGCGTTCCTAGGGTGCACTGGAGGAGATGGTGCCATAGATAAAACTGTTATATCTGGAGTTAGATTATGAGATGAATTTGAAGCTTGTAGTAAGGGTTTATTTTCTGGTGGAGGACAGAGGAGAGGGTATGAACTTAGTGACTGAACTTGAAGGCTCTGAGTAGATTCCCCTGTAGACAGAAGGCAAGAGTCAGTATTTGGAGGTTGGAGGCACAAAGTGGGCTGGGATTGGCTGATCGAACTATTTGGGGGTTTGTTGTCCACACTCTGAAAGTTAGAGCACAGGAGAGAAGACCCTGTCCAGGAGTGAGTTGTAACCACGCTGCTCGTACTTTCAACAGTCTGTCTAGTGGCAGTCGGACTGGAGGAGCGGGGACTGTGCACCACGTGGCCCCATAGTCCTGAAGGGGGGGCAGTTGGGACAGTCTGACGCCCCCCTGTGTCTGAGCTGGGGGCTGAGGCGTGAGGAGGGTTGCTGTAGTGGTGCGTCCCATGGGTGGGGTTGAAGTGATGAGAGGAAACGTGAGCCTCCAACAGATGCATCATGTGGTGCAGGTTCTTGGTGAGCTGACACTTCCTGGTTTAATGTTTCCATCTGCATAGAGCAAACATGCAGTCATAAGTGAGTTAATGGCAATTAGCAGGCTAACAAAACATGGTACAGTAAAATTATATAAGATACAGTATACAAATCTGTGGAAAAACTGGAAGAAGTAGACTAAATAAAATACATTTCTACATGATTGATGATGATGATGATTTTGGCTCAATTTAGTGCCAAAAAATAAGGCATTTTTTCACTTTTTTCCAATATTTCCATCTTTACCTCATTGGCAATCAACTATTCCCCCAAGTTTTGACATCAGCCAATATGCCATTCTTTTCTTCAAACAGTATAGTTATTCCACAAAAAAAATAAAATAAAAATCCAACCAAAATCAATGGATCTGTGATGATTTCTTTACCATCAACAGGCCCAGAACCTCAATAGAATGTTTGGCTACTCTCAACATTCCATAAGGCACACTGGATATTTAGCATGGTTGTTAATGTCCACATTATTAAACATCATGGCCTAGGCATCGTTTAAATAATAAATAATAATAATAATAAAAAAAAATATATATATATATATATATATATATATATATATATATATATATATATATATATAATATAGCCGCAAGCGGCAATGATCGGCCCTCGCTCGAGCCTATGCCACGCCCATGCCACGTTGAGCTCTGCACATGCCGTGCCCCACGAATGAACCTTACTCATTGATCTAACTTCTAAATTAACACTAATCCCTAAACCTACGTGAACTCCTAACCATAGCCCTAACCCTAGCCTAACCTTAACCCTAGCCCTAACCCGAACCTTACCCCTAACCCAGGGGTCGGCAACCCGCAGCTCCGGAGTCGCATGCAGCTCTTTAGCACTCCCCTAGTGGCTCCCTGGAGCTTTTTCAAAAATGAGTGAAAATGGAAAAGAAATGATTTTTTTGGTTGTTGTTTTAATATGGTTTCTTTAGGGGTAAAACCCTCGTTCATCTCTGGTCATGGATCTGATCCATCAGCTGTGTGTGCAAATGCAAACACATGAAAAATGTTTCAGCAGAACAAATAGATGAGCTGAAGCGGGGGTGGTATCCGGTGCCTCCACCTGAGAAGCGCTTTCCCCGAAAAAAAACAAAAAACAAAAAAACACGTGCACAGACAGACTGCTCAGAACAACATATAACGAACCAAACGGGATTCACGCTTCTGTCCGTATGCTTTGCACCAACTTGGAACCAGCCGCGGTCGAGCAAGGAGGACCGGAGCAGCCCACCCGGACCTGTGATCCACAGCGCATTCTCGCTTTTCCCGCACGGAACCAGCGCACAGATGATGGCACTGAAGCACTCGGACCCAGTCCTTTGCGCGCTGGTCTTGCTCGCCCCCGTCTGGAACCAGGACACGGAGGACGAAGCCTCCGGACAATCAACACTGGACCCCCAGACCCGTCTTGAGGGGCTGCGCGCTGACTGCTCCCATGTGTTTAGCGCTGCTGCCCGAGTTCAGAGCTTCTGCTCCGGGTTTATTTTATGAGTGCTCCTATGCACAATCAGAAGAAATGTGACCGCTGCTCTGAATGCTTCCATCATCATCGTCAAAGCAACAGGTAAACGTTGGTCGCACTTTCAGCGCGTCAGCTCCTAAAACTCCGTTTATCTCTGTTTACACGCAAACGTGAAACCAGAGTTTTCCAAAATCTCCACTCTAGCCAGAGTTTTTAGA